TTTGATCGGAGACAGGTGTGTCTACAGGAATGGCCCATGACCAGTCATCGGAAAACAGATGCTTGGATTCCGGCCCCATTGGAACTCCAACAGAACTGGGTATATGGTCACGGGCAGAGCCATGGTGATCATGATATTGCTGCTCGACATTCCATGAATTGAAGCCCCAATGAACTTTTTCTTGGAAACCTTTACACCATCGTGAAATCATACCTGGGTCATCACATGTGGATTTGGACTCCCTCCCGAGCAAACAAGCTAGGGGTGGAATGATCTCACATGCCCTGAGCATCCATGAAGGTAACCCCCGAAAATGTTCCTGACAAAAAGCTCCTGAGTGTTGGGATTGGCCGGACTGGGAAAACGACAGGACCGGCGTGAGTCTTTGGTGTGAGGGCACAAGAGACATGCTCCACGGTTCAGGAAACTGATCATCATCTGACGATAGCAACTCATAGTTGTGGTGTGATCTGGAGACATATTGTGCTGCCCATGGCTCGAAAATTGATTGATCTTCGTCATGAGAAGAGGCAGCTGTCACGCTGGGAATACACTGTCGATCATATCCAGCTTGTCTCACTCCATCCCTCTGTGAACAAGAAAGATTCCACGCCAACATATTCGGATGTCGTTGCATTGGATCCCTGATCTTGTTCCCAGCATCACCATGGGTGAGGGGGTCTGTGGTCACATCAAACCCTGGTTTCTGGCCCAGGTACCTATACATCCATGGTTCAGCTGGAAAGTCATCCTCCGCAGTCAAACCATAACCGCTAGACAAATCGTGCTTCTCGTAGTCGACTGCCCATGGTTCGAAGGTCACTGGATCTGGTCGATATGACTCATCGAATTGCGAGGGTAGGATGTTGGAGGTTTCGTGCAACAAAAAGGCATCACCGTCACTTTCCACATCGTCCTGGCGTTGGACACCAGATTGCCAACACCCTCCTTTGCTCCACGTAAAAAAAGTGGTCGCCTGACCTGAGCGCAAGAACCTCAGAACATCCATCGACACTTTCAGCAGCACGCGTTGCTTATCGTCACTCATAGCTTCCACAACAGCGAAATGTGAGTGCCACATCACTGTGCGGATTGGGGTATATGATCTTCGGATGCACTTTCGCCATGTCGTCTTCGAGGATATCGCAAAACGTGCCACAAGGCATACCATGGCTCAATTGGTACCACCGCAAAAATGCGGTGGCGACGGGCGTGCCAACGTGTAGGCTTGAGCCCAACGCCTATGGCCTTACTACTAGGAGCAAGGACTGTTGGGCCCAAGCACCACCACCTTTTGGCCCCAACTAATCCTCCTTTTTTGCGCAGTCCAGTGGCCACATGGAGAAACCACTCATCTCGGAGTTGCCCCGGTCCCCGCTGTCCAACGTTTCGACCGTGGGCGCCGAACCTCGGTTGGAGTGGATGTGCCAAGGCCCTGGGCTCAGTGGATCACCCTGCTCTTTGCCATGGCTTCAGTCGATCACCCTTGTGAGAAGAAACCTCCATGCCTTTGTGTTGATTGGATGGTTGTGGTGGGTTGGCATATGTTGGCATGGTTGGTTTGGTGGTACAAATGGGATCTCGTGAACGGCTCGGCCGGCTCCGTGTTTTGGAGTGGGTTTGGACGTGTTCCCTCTTTCATGGACAAGCATCAACCTAAAATGCTAAGGGGTGCCCAATGAGTTTTGGTAGTAAGGGGTGCCCAATGACCATCCGTTGGATGTTCCTTGTAATTATACATATTGAGGCGATTCGGGCGATTTTTCTGGGGTCGGTGTATATAATAGTGTATGTAAATACGCCATTACATGGAGCGTTTGGGATATCCTTCGCACAGCGCCGCCGCCCAATGCTGTGTCGGCGGCTCTCCGAGAAAGCTCGACCGAGTGGTGCGGGTGTCGGCGCACGGGTGACAGATGCCATGGCGGCGGTGGACAGGTGCGCGAAAAGAAAACAACACGAGGTCTGAGTCGCTGAGTGGCTGAGACATTATTGAGACCTCCTGTCAGTTTGTTCTGAAGATTGGGAATCCTGAAGGTTTCTGCTCAAGATTGAAGAAACCCAGCTGGCAGTTCTGAGTGTCCGTTCGGTTGGTTTATTGGTTCTTGTGAACGGCTGGGAGCGACCCGGTTCATTGTTCATGCCTCAAGATCTTCAAGACTTCTGCTGTGTTTTGCACGTCTCGATGGGATGGGTATTTTGGTCCTTGATTGCAACGCCAAACAATGCCATGGGTTTTCACAGCCCTCAGACTCACCCGAACTCTCTGCCAAGCCATACATCCCACGTCCCGAAAAAAGTCTGGATGTTCCCCCAGTCCCAGCCACTCCGGACAAGTACTGTAAAGGATCTCAATTGTCAAACCACTGCCATATTGGGTGTGTATTAAAATAGGGAGACCGACGCCCGGCGTTCCCACTATCCTGGGTTCGGGAACCGGAAAATCGACCAAAACTCAAGATGTCGGGGGTCTCCCTCTTACAACAAATACACCCCTTTTTATCCCATCAAAGCGCGGATTATTTGGAAAGACTAACCATAGAAAAAACACTCCACTCCCTTAGTGAGTAAAATCAGCCCTTTGCGACTCCTGGAAGACACACCCATATTGGGTTCCAACCCTTCTTGGTTGTGACTGGCCTGGGGACCATGGGTTTCAGCATGTTTCAGCATGTTTCAGCTAAAGGTTTCCATTGGGAAATCTCCTGAACTCTCTCCCGGGACCCTCCAAGATGACAACAAGTAGGTGTCCAAACACCACCTCTGTTCGGGTCCTAACACAACCTGTTGAGAGTTTTGATCCAGACTTTCCTGGTCATATCTACGATCTATTGTTAGTAGGAGATATCTACGGTTAACGCTTTGTGACCCTTGACAGAAAGGCCCTATACATTCCACACCACACTCATACTATCTCCGAGCCATGCCATACGCAGCGTTGGTGGCTTTTCCCACCTTCCCGCTAAGAAAAAGCTGAGTGTGCCTTGCGGAGCAGTGGGAGTGGCCGAGATGCAGATCGTAGCCTCTGCACATGTCCTTAAACTACCGGAGATTTAGTTACCCAGACCCAGCTCCATAACATACAACACATATCAAAAATGTTCCTCCAGTCTATATACGTATATATTTTAGCAAATATAATACATTAGATTATACTATAAATATTACGATATATTATGTGTATAATGTTGTATAACTATATATGTATACAGTATAGACAATGCATTTCAAAACCCAATCACCCTGGGTGTTGCTTTCATAGCTTTTGTGTTCCCCGTTTGATCCCTCTGAGATTAGACTGTAGGCAGCTGGTTCATTTGGTCCATTTTCTTCTCCAGAAGTCTCGTCAACTGGGTTTCCTGGCAGAACCCTCTCTTTCCATTTCTGCAAAACATGTCCGAGTTTAAGTTAAGAGAACAATAAAAATCCTCAACCCATCTCAACTCTAAAATCTATAAGATTATAATAGAATTGACGTAAAACATAGTAAACATTATACACACTTCTAAACCCTAATTTTTTGCTGCACACGGGCCTCTCACTACCCGTTAAAGAATGAGGGTGCCCACTTCACCGTTGCCCTCTACACTGAGTCAACCGGCGGAAGGGGTAACGCATTAATTATATATATATAATATATAGTAAAATTAATTAATATATATATATATTATATATATACACACTATATGACAGAAGAACGACACTCACCAAGGTTTGGGTCGAAGTGAGACCTACAAGAATCAGGCCCATTCACCATGGCCAAAACAGCCGAAACAAGAGCATACCAGACCCGAACAGGAGACGTCAAACAAATGCCGCCAACGAAGCCTGACAGGAAGCCCAAACCAAAGTCCTGAAGTTGGGACAACTTCTGAACCCCATATTGAAATGGCTGTGGGTTATAGGATACCGACCGGTTGACCTACAACCTGGTGTCGGTCGGAAGCGCGGCAAATTGGACTGGACAACCGGACTGGTCTCCAGGCTTGAACGAATCCACCTGCTGGGAGCGATCGGATGCTATTAGGGGCGCCTGCCTGGCCTTATACTACTAGGAACAATATTAGCTTCTTGTTTCTACTAGCTTCTTGTTACTACTAGTAAGGCACTTGTTACTACTAGCGTGGCACTTGTTACTACTAAATACAAGAAGCTAATCCACCTGCTTGCATGGATCCGCACCCGGCCGCTCGGATCGGACGTGCGACCCGACCCATTTTTGGGGGGCCATGTGTCGATGGCAGTCATCGTCGTGCCCCAGGAGTCTCCGGCCCACGGCCTTCATCCAAGAGTTTTGGTTCTTCTGTCCCATGCAAGTTCACTTCAACCTGGATTCCATTGGATTTCTGTCGGTTTCTATATTGATTGATATTATCTGGAAATCCCAAACAAAGTGTGGGGACCTCCATTGGTGTGACCCTGAAAGGAAGGTGCTGGAACTCAAGCGTTCGGCGAGCCAACTCCTACAGCTAAGCCTGTGCCTTGGCTTCAGGCACATCCGGAGGACCGCTCTACAACTGGACAGGCTGCAGCGCTGAAACTCCGGTCGATGCTCCATCGCAGAACATGCCCATCGGAGGAGAAACGACCATGAAACGCATTATTCCATGACCTTGACCTTGGCTTCTTGTTTTCAATCGACGCTCTGGCCTAGTATTGTCGCTAGGTATTGACTGCTGAACATGTTACAGTACAATATTCGACTTCTAGCTGCGTGAAAATGGGTGGTGGGACAAACATGTCAGCTCGTAATGTTTTCCTTATCACTGATCACATCGGGTGTCATGCCATCAGCCAAAACAATGGTTCCAAAGGTGTTTATATACTTCATGATGTGGGAGCCCCAACACTGATCAGACTACATTGACTATATACAGGGAAAACCACACAGAAACCTTTGGAGCTGCATCTGTTCTCACTCTCTTTGAACATAGAAGAACCAGCCAGCATGCATGATTCCATCAATGGCAAATATCTTCCATCACCTTACCTCTTCAAGTAAACGTAAGATAAGAAAAAACACTGAAAAAGACGGGATCCATCAAGATCCAAATGGATCCAAAAGCTTGAAGCTGTCTGGACCGGTGCCTTAACTGATCTGTTTGAATCCCCGGCATCAGCGGTCGTCGTCTCCACCAGCGATGGGAGGTCCCCGACCTGCTCCGTCACGAGGTCCGCTCCAGGGTCACCTGAGTCCATGTGTGCCGAAAGAACCGATCTTCGAGTCACATGGACCGGGGTGCCGAATGGGTGGACCCATGATCCACTCGGACGGGACGAACGAAACCACCCCGACATGTGACTCCTGGTTGATGGGAAAAAGATGGACAAAAACTAGGGGTTGTGGCTCAGACCTTCAGGGCCACAGAGCCCGTGGTAATTATACGAGGTGGGTGTGGTGTGATTGGGCAAAAACGTTTGTTTTATTACTTTTTTCGGCGCGTTTGTGTTTGGCGTCTGACGTGATCGGTGTTTCTTCGATCATCTTCGATCCCGCCGGAGTCCCAACACAAGTTTGTTTTGGGGCGCTCTTGAACCGAAGTCGTTTTGTCCGTCAGATTGCGTGTCGCAAGGCTTCTGGGTTCAACATGACTACAATACCTGAACTACATGTTGAGAGATTGCGTGTGGATCACAGAATTAAACCAAACAAGGGTTACTATAGGGGCTCCTGGCATCGCTACGAACGGAGCGATCCGACGCTACGAACGGGGCTCCTGGCCGTACCACTAGGAGCAAGGACGCTACGAGCGAAACAAGGTTCCCTGGAGCAAAATGACAACACAGAACTCCAAGGTCTCAAAGCCCGGCCACCCAAGTCACAGTGTCGTGCATGTGACATGAATTCCATCCCGCGTGGGGGATACTTGAGAGGATACTTCCTCTTGCAATGAAGTGGCGTGCAAACGACGACCTGATGATGTATAAACTCCCTGAAATAATCTGATTTAGTAATGTAAAAGGGAATATCACCCTCTGGAAGACCCTTTTTCTCTACAAACGCGGTGGTGCCATCCATTTCCATGTGATCGGAGAGTACCTCCAAGCACTGTGCGCACCAGCTCTCACCTCTCCATCACCCAGTCCCTCTTGCTCTCACCACCAAGAAATCCACCAAGACCATGGCAAGAGAGGGAAGGGGGGTGGTGAATTCAGCTCCAAAGAACACCGTCAGACCGACCATCCACTCATTCCACCCCACCATGGCACGAAACCCAACCGATCCCGATCCCGATCCCGATCCCGATCCCGGTCCGGATCCGTCGTCGCCCAAGCGGCCATCAGCGGGATGTGGTCCGACGGCTCCTGTGCGTTCGGCATCGCTTCCGCAGGGCATCGGAGCTCACTGCCTCGGCATCCGCGCGCCGTTTGAACAGAGCGCGCCGTATACACGCGGAACGGTAGAAACCGGTAGAAGGGGTACCTGTGGAGGTACCCCCCCCAAAGTCCTCTATAAAGGTTCGTGTCGAAACTAGCCATCGCAGAGTTTTGAAACCTAGACCCACCACTGGAAGCCCCGGAAAAAAATGAAGAAAAAAAACCACACATCTACACTGCTTGGTTGAACGAACCTCGAGCTTGGTCGACCTATTACGCCAAGGCACGCTCCAGGAGCCTGAAGGCCTCTTCCTCATAGAAGATGTAGTCCTTGGTCGCCGCCGTTGCTCGCGGTGAAGCGAAGACGGCGAAGAGTTTCGTCGGACCGAAAACGGGTCGTGGGCCGCATGGGATGAAGCAAACACACTGGAAAACCCATCGAAACCCATGTTCATCTTCTTCCTGTTCGGGGTCAAAAGCTTGCTGAGCTTGTTTGAAGCTTTTGGCAGCAAAATGGAGACTCGCAGATAGTTGCCCCACATGATGTCATTAGTTATTAGACAGTTAGACCAGTATATGACTTGAAGGACTTCACCTGGAGTGGTCTCTTGCGACGCCATACCCATGTTGGTAGTCTGTCTATTCCTACTAATAATGCACTCTTTAGTACCGTTGCATCATACACATACCGATCATGGCGCTGGCACGACCACATTTACGACACACATCGATGCAGCATCTTCTATCCGACATGATGGCAACAACAATAATTGTGACCACAAGAACCGCAGGAAGTGGCTATCGCTTATGCCAGGAACATCCAGGAACAAAAATAACAGGAACATTAACATGGAGAAATTATCTTTTGACCACACATATATTATATATATTTATATGATAGATGTTTTTATGGTAATGTAACTCTTCCTGTTTGAATCTTCCGTTTCTCTGTTCTCTCCCTGATCCAGGTCAACCACGCAAGTTGAATGAAAAACCTCTAATTCAACACTATCACCTTGTTGCATTCATATTTGGATCTGCCCATGTTTTTGGACGAGTTTCCACTGTCTCCAAACGGATGCCGGTGCGTGTAGAAGAGAAGTCCTGGTCCAAATCCCATTCTCGTGTCGATCGTGGAGCAATTGAACTTGCGCGTTCTCCACCGGCCGAGTCGTTCTTCCCCGTCCGCGTGTTGCCACATGTCGTGGTCCCACCGTGTCAGCAATCCAACAAAATATTGGTTGGTTGGTTGGCAGTTTCAACAAAATCGAACCGATATCAGTGGTAGTCTGCGTAGTCACCGGGAGGTAAAAGTTGAACATGTTCGATATTACCATCTATAGTTCTACTAAAACAAATGTAAGTTCATCGGACTCTTGCGGGCGTAGCAAGAAGGAACTTTGCGTCCGCAATGCTAACCAAACACATACACATCGGTGTTCATTGAAATGTTTGAGTTACCGTCCAACTTGGTGCATGGAAAAATCACCACAACAAAAATACAGTAATTGTCGAATCGCCGGAAAATAGGTTCTCATACTGCACAGCATCGACAGCATGGCACACCAATATGAGTATACATATAGTGCCCCCGCTTTGCTGTTGCACTTGTTCTTCATGATTTTTTGATAGTTGTCCTCATTAGAAAATCAGCCAATACCAACAAAAGTTCTGGTCAGTTTTGGTCCAATAAATCGTGCCGGAACACAAGCACAATGAGCCGCTCTTGTCCAGCACGCTAGCATTATTCCTGTAGTCATCTTTTGTTGGACACATTGGACAACAACTGAAAAATACTTCTGCGCCGAGCCCCAAGAATTGTCCATGCTCTTCCGGTTTTCCAAATGAAGTGCCGCCAACACCACTGGTTTCCGTCCTCAAGGGTGTTGACCTCTGCATAGGCATCACGCAACACCAGCGCCACACCGCCCAGCTTGCGCCAACAAAGGCGGCCCACCTGGAACCGTGTGGGCGCAGTCGCCATTCTGTGCCCCCCCCAACCCTCACCGATCATTCCGCCTCGCACTGCAAGCTGAAGATGCAAGCTACAGGAATGGAAACGGCTCTGCTCTTGCGCAACTTGGCTTGATGCAAGAAGTTCTTGACGACTGTTGCCTGGCACAAGCCTACCAAAGCCAGACTTGGTGCAAGGGGGAAGCTGCGACGCACGCTAAGCCGGGCACAGTATGAACAAAGACACTTTCCAGAAACATCCAACAGACTTCGTGAGAAGTGTTCCGCCTGCCCTGCGGACAACCCGAAGTGTGACACATGCTCGAGAGACAGGGCTTCAGGACTTCTCCCCTACAGGATGTGCGCCCAAACCATGCAGCATGACGATGAATGTTTCGCAACCGGCGCCACGGCGCTATCGGGTACGGTGAAGACGAGGCCTGTTCGATCCCTCTCGGGTGGTTGACTCGGAGTCAATGCAAGATGTCTGGGCACGTCTGGGCACGTCTGGGCTGTATTTAAATGCCGCAAGTGTACTGCATTCCTATTACATCAAAGGTGTTTCTTTCAGTGATCATGCTGAGTCCTGACCCGAAGTAAGAGTGGTGAGAATGGTGAGAAGTCAGCGAGGATTTCTTTCGGGCTTTGGACTGGTTTCATCGGGCACCGTGACCACCTCCATGGCTGGTCCATCGAGATTGACCCATTAAACTGTTTGGTGCCGAGTGAGGAATAAGGGAATTACTCCTGAGGTATCTACAGGGATGAAAATTCCCTCATTCCCCACGAATCGCCACGAGTCTGGGCCAGGCCCATCCTTTGTTGCCTCATGATGGCTGAGAAGGTCGCAATTTTAGGCCTGGACGGATCCGTTGGAAGCCATCCACATTCATCCACTGTGCTCATCCGCATACTCTATCCTAGGCCTGGCGACGGTCCGACCTGGCACATGGCGATGTGGTACACCACGGATAGCTAAGATGGAACTCCAAGGACCTCACCTTCGTTCGATTCCTCGTCCAAGACCCAACACCCATGTGGCCTGGCTTCGACGTCCCAGATGCTTCGGACACCGGAGCCGAAGACTTCGGCCACTTCGGGGGTACCGATGTTCGCACTCCGATGGTGCATCTCGACATGGATGAATCATCAATTGCAGATTCCCTCGACACGTTTGAACCAAAATTGTTTTGTTTGTTCGTGGCACAACGACTGCCGTGATTCAGCCGACTCCGCCGTGTTGGTCGGTCAGTTCACCCACCCGAAAAGGGTGGAAACCGATGTGACGGGTTATACCGGGGTGATGCATTTCTCAGGGGGGTTCCATGGATGTGATTGCGTGATAATACCATATCATACATGTATATATGCCATCGTCCATGACAGAGTGTGTTGGGGTCATGCGCTTCAAGCCTTGGGCCGCGCCTTGGGCTTGAAAGGACGCAGTAAAGGACTCGCAGGCTCGCACCCCAAGCCCAAGCCGGCAACTACTTTTGTTTTAAAATTGAACGAATGCATATGTCCAATCAGTTTATAGGTCTAGGAGTTCAGCTGCTCCAAGGGCGATCCCTGAATCGAAGATGATTGACATCCCCTTAAAATCCCATGCACACCTTCATCTTTCGAAGAAGACAGAGCGGCAACGATGTGTTTTTTTTAATGTGTCTATTTTTTCCAGGCCACACACCGTTTGAAAAACAGAAATAACTAAAAACAATGACACGTGAACCAGGGTTAATGTTCATGTGATTTACGTTGTGATTCACGTTACCCTGAAAGACCCTGAAAGCAACAAATCTCCGACTCTCCCAAAGCATCGGACGGATACGGTCAATCGCCTGCGTCTCTTCGTCTCGCTGGTGTCCGGTGCCTGGGAAACGGATGTCTCGCACCCGGATGGACCGATGGAGTGGATACTGGGGGAAACCATGCCGCTCTCAGATCGGCCGAGTGGAAGGTCAAACGCATCTTTCAGAAACTTCAACGCATATATCAATGAGATTGCTTTCGCTGTGTGGTCTGACGTGTGAACGATCTTTTTTGCGTGTTTCTGGACGGGCCAGGCCCGGAGGGACTGCTCCATCAGCGGCAGTGGCGCCCGATCCCTCACTGTCCGGCCTTCGAAAATATGCTCCTGGCCGCAGGCGGTGTCGTCCCACAACACCCACGCCGCCCCCAGAAAGGTCCAGGCGGCCCCAGGATGTTGAGAGTTGTGCCCAGGGAGGCATGTCAATGTATGTAAGATGACTCAAAGCTTCAGGGAAGCCAGAATATTTATATATACATGGCTTGACCATAATCTAGTGTTGTTTGAATGATTTGGGAATGGTTTGGGGTGGATTTGGGCATGGTTTGGAACCACCTGACAAGCTGCAAAACGAAAGCCAGCGTTTTTTGTCCACGAGCACATTGTGAAGAGAGATAGTAAAAGTGCAGCGGTAGCTACCATGGGTCCGCTGGCCCCCGGTCTGCCCTAGATTTAGGCGCGCGCGCGGACCCAGGGCAGCTACAAGGCAGTTGCCAAGTATAGCACTTAATTTCCCTTTCCGTCAACCGCTACCGTGACAAAGGTGCAGCAATCCACGTGCCCAGTGTAGCTGCAATTCAATAGGTGTGGCACGTCAATTTCCATTTCCTTCAGCCACTACAATTCAGTTGCCAGGTATAGCACTTCAATTTCCCTTTCCGTCAACCGCTAGATAGCCTGGAGAAACGTGCAGCAACCCACGGATTTGAAGTCTCATTGGTGCTTTGAACTTATATGTGTGTATGCACGAAGCTACATCACATCGGCCTCGGTAAAGCTACACCTTACCATGCTGATGATGCAAATGAATAAACTTGCATTTCTTACATCACCAGCCGATCCAAAATCACAAAAAAATCACCTCCAACACAACCTCCAAAACCTTGCTTCCTTGCACCCCTAAACACCACCTAATTTCACGTTTACGTGGTGCTTTCTCGGGCCACCCCCGCCAGACCCTACTTACTCACTTCGTTCGCCAAACTCAACTCAGCTGGCGCCTTCTACGAAGGCTGGCTTTCGTAATTATGGAGGCCAAATAATCTTGTTCTGGACATGCACATTTGCCAACGTTCGAAACGCATGACAGTATCGACTAACGCACTGTCTGCGCTGTGGGAGTTGGCGCTCTGTCTCCGACCTTCCCGGGGAAAATCATCCGATCGCCTTCTTTGGAAAGCAAATTCAATAAAATCAATATATAAATCCAAGTGGGAATATACCTATGGGAATAAATATATCATCAATTAATTGTAGAATATTATATCAATATATCAATAATACAAGTGGGAATGCACACATACTATGTCATATGGGATATATTTTTTCATACCTGGATCTTGGACATGACATGGCTGAAAGAAATTGCTGCGACAGGAAAGCAACTTGTCTATATATATATAACTGTCTTTTTCTGTGAACGCCAAAAAGAAGCATCGTCTTTGGTGTCCAAATGGAATTGCAGATCAGCTGTAAGATGTTTCTGTGAACTGTGAACATTGCACATCAAGGGTTAACGCATTGGACGAGTTGGTCGGAGAGCACACGAATTATCCGGCCAAACGGGGTGAACGAACATGGCTCGATGAAATGAGCAACAAACAAACGAACGAACAAACAAACCCAACGCATGGTGTTTGGATGTGTTTGGAATTTTCATCCTGTTGACTGTTAATGAATAACATCATCTCCCTTACCCACACTCACGAACGCGAACTGTCCGACGGTTCGCTCCTCAAAGCCCTTCCACATAAGCGGGGTGCTGGGTAAACAGGTAACACATGCGATATGAATTGGACGCGCAAGCTGGTCGTTCCTTCGAAGTCCCTTCCGGACTCACTGGACTCTCCTCGGCACAGTTCCGGCAGTTGATGTTGAAATCCCCGCCTTAGATGCGCAGTGAAGAGACCGAAGACCCCGAAGACCCGAAACGATTCCTGTCGAGTCCGGGAGTAACAGCAAAAATTGCTTCCAAGTCTTTCCCAATCCACTGAGTGAGACAGTTCGATGGCATAAAACTGGGGGCACCACACACATCAATCTCTCCCGAGTGAACGTCAGACCGTCTCAGAACATCGAAACGAAAGCCATAGAAAGCCCTACAAAGGACAAACGAACATGCAGACTCACATCATGCACCCTGAGAAATTCACCTGTGGGTCTTCCATGTCATCCATCTTCGTCTACAAAGCGGTCTAGTCTTGGAGGTCCAGTTTGTTTCTTTCTGCAGGAGGGTAACAAGCTGAGAAAAATACACAAATCACCTGCCTGGACCGTGCAATGGCAATCTGGGTGTCCAATGGAGATCTAACTAGTGTAGGGTAGTCCATTGGACACTCATTGGAAGGTCTTGGTGCTGAACATCCGTCCAGGTTGCAAAAGATCACTGGAGCCTCCACGCGCTCCTCCAGTAGCCGGCGAATCGTGATCAGCTCCTGAGCAGATTTCCGGGTTGGGATTCTGATTTCAGTCAACACGCAGGAGATGTGGTTTCCAGGTATGTCCTGCTTTCTTCCTGGGCGTGCTGTCAGTCAACGTGGGCGTTCCACGCGAATGGTTTTACAGCCTCGTGGGCGTGGCCATTGGGGTTCCGTGGCCTGTCATACGTGAGCCAATCACTTTCCAGCCGATCGGATCCAGAAGCTTTTTTTGCTCACCAGGCGAGTTCCGAAAGTGGGCTGGCCAGGAGGCCAGAAATTGGGTGAGGGGTGGTGAGGGCTGGAGGCCCAATTCAGGAACCCGCAGCAGCAGTCCGAGATGCGGACTACAACATCAACCTGTCCAGGTCTAACTTTCTCCAAAGACTGAATTCAAAGTCAAACGAACACTGCACATGACAGTGCTGCTTGGTCTGTGTCCAACCCAACTCCTCCACCCAACTCCACCCTCGTCTCCTGCTTTCGGATCTGACCATCCTTGTCCCTGGAGCTCGTCATCAAATGGGTGCCACCTGGAGCGCTTCAGGGGTGCCTCCAACGCCTCCAGGTTTGGTCCCCACATCATGTATTCACATGATTAAGATACCCATACTGTGAATTATGGTCATAAGGTCACAAGGTCATATTAAGATACCCATATGGTCTATAAGTTTGGTCCCATCATGTCCGGATTCTTAGACCTTTTCTAGCGGGGGTTGTGGAAATCGATGCGTTGCCAGCATGTGGTCATGTGCATGGTGGAATGCCCCCTCAGGAATGCTGTGGAATGTCTACCTGGTTGGTAGAAGAAAAATAAAGACAACATCTCCATGCCGGCCTGAGGGGTTGAATTATCAAGAGTCAACATTAGGGTATGACAAGGCCAGTCCATGGACCTTGCCACCTTCACGGATTCGCCACCATGCACTGGCCGATCGCAGTAGACTGCGGAGTGTTTCCCTTTGTCCGTTGGTGAATGAACATCGCAAAAGACGAAAGGCTTGTGTCAAATGTCATCACCACAAAACCCCGTGAATCGGGGTGTCTGTTACTGGCCCCGTAAGACGAGGTGATTGGGGGTGTCCATCAACCACTCCTTGGGAGGCTCACACAAATGCATGCGTATGTGTTTCTGTCAACTTCCAAACTTCCTGCTTTCCAGGGGAAGACCCGGCGAGGTCCCTAATTTGATACACACCCCTATACTGTTTGTTTGGTCATTTTTGGACACCTACCTTTGTCCTTTAACATCCTTTGAGACTCTTGCCTGTGGGTTCCACACAGGGTGCGCACCCTGGCGCACTTTTTGTCATGGATCTGTACCCCACCCGACTATGGGAGGTTAACATCCCTTAACACATGGATCTGTTCAACCTGGCGGCCCTGGCCAACCCGGTGCCCGGGTGCTCCCACGACGCCCATGAGACGAGATGTGAACACATGTCCCAAGGGACTCCAACTGGACGTGAGACCCTCAAAACAACACACCTTCAAAGATTTGGAGGTCATTGAAGAAGAAAACTCCCAAAGCATCTCCGACCCGAAAACAACAAACAATGATTGCCGCAATGGTTCATCCTGTGGAAAGCCATTCGCTCTGACTGGGTCAGTGCAGTTTGCATGCATCCGAGTCACAAAAGAAGAGCGGGACGTCGTCCACCAGAAGCTTGGCGTAGCAGAAGGGCCTTCTATCCTCGAGGGCACTGGAGGTGGCGCAAAGGTTAGAAGAAAACGATGCATGACAAAGAACACGCCTCATCAACGCTGTTGCAAGCATTTCTAAGCTCCATGACCGAACCAATCCTTATTGATCTTTTTGAGGATACCCCAGCCAGCCATAGCAAAGGACACTAGCAAAGGACGGCCATCGGATGTGTGTTCAAGTAGGAATCCCCCAGACTGTAGTAGATTTTTGTCGTTTCCAAAGATATATAATCCGAAAAACAATGCTAAGAATGCATGGAGAGCCCATTTTGTCCGATTTGTTCATAATCCAGGAGTTCCATGTCGAGTTGGTTATTGTAGGTCTTTTTTTCCGCGGTCTGTCCACTCCCTTTCGGGTCTTTTCGAGCCACCCCGATGAGTGGAAGCTTCTGGAATAAAAACGATGCCTCGTTCTTGGTCTCCACATGTCCCAAAGAAATATAGCTGTCGATCTCTCTGGAGTTGAGTTCAATTGCACCGGTTTTCTATGGTTTTCTATAGAGATCATCAGAGGTCCCTCCGGCCCCGCGGATCTCTCTTTACCGAATGAACGGACCAGCGGTTTTGCCGAGGTGCCATCGCTCGCTCCAAGGGCTCCTGGAGGTCGACGTTGCCCAAAGAGCCTGGAGGCCAATGTGGCAAGCGCCCTACGAAAACTTAACTTGTACCAACCAAAACTTAGGAACACTTAGCATCTTCAGTGTTCAGGTTGTGTTGGTGTTTCTGAACCTGTCGGCTGTCTCGATTTATCCTCGTGCCCAGTTCTCCTTGGCGTTTCATGCAAATAAAGAATATAGAACATATAATATATATATATACACACATTTCAACTGCCTCATATTCCTGGCTATTTGCAACACATCTGAGCCCGCAAACTCCTTGCTCCTTTGCAACATGTTTTAACAACAACCTCCATATTCTTTGCAACTTGCAATAATTTGGAGTGAATGTCATTGTCTTTATGATTCTTTCTGATTCCTTCCTGCTTGCAGCATGTTGGGACAAACAACCTTCATATTCCTTGCTATTGGCAAGACTTTGGAAGGTATGTATTTCATGTTCCATGGAATTTGCAGCACTTCTGATCAATACACATTAGGAGTAATTTCCATGAGTTATATGCAGCATGGAAATCTCTAACATGGACATGTTCTGAGTGCTCCGCCGGGTGCTTTTGTTAAAGAAGTCACTTCTGCTGTGTGGTACATGCAAATACCAAAGATGAACATTCTAAAGGCTTGCTCGGCTATATGCCCCAGGCTATTGAAATCGTTTGCAATTTCTATCTGGGCATTGATGATATGCACACATATATATATATAATGCATCCAGATGTCCCTTCTGTTCCACTTAGTGGTTGGGGACACCCCAAGGTTTGGAATCCGCAAGCCATGTCCGAGACGCCACTCTCCAGGCCGCAGGGCCACATCCGGTCCTACCGGAGAAGGGGTGAGGGGAGCGTGAGTCACGAGCGACGGGTGATGGGTAAGCCGTTGGTGCACCTGTTGATCTGAAGAAGTATCACTGAAAGTGTATGACCAACCCACAAGTAACCGTGAACAGTTGGGAATGAAAAGAAGGTTGTCTCTTGCCAGGGTCAAACAAGTCATCAAACCAAACTTTGACTTGCTTCTACCAACAGTGGTCTTCACGACCTCTTTGGGGGGGCAATACGAAATCACTGACAGCTATAGTCTGCAGTTACCATCCATGAATAAGCATTTCAGGGAATCACGAGTCTATTACATTTCTTCAGGCTAACATTGGTTGGGAGTACTGCCAGCCATACACCTGTACAGCAAAGCACAAGGAGTGGAAGTTCCATCGTCGGTGTCCTCAGGCAATGCATCGCCGGCCAAGAGCTTGGCACGGGCGCGCAGCCAAAAAAGGCCGACGCCCACTTTCTCCTGCACTCGATTGGCGACTACTTTCTGCACAGTCCGACTTAGATTTTGTTCTTGAACAAAATCTAAGCTTCGCAAAACATGCATATATAGAGGTGAATCCCCGTCAACCAATGTATTGGAAACCGTCTCTTGGAGAATCTGTTGCGAACTTCTGATAGAAACACCTCACCTTTTTGGGGCCCATACAAAAAGGGGTAATAGACTCACAACCCACAAGTCAAAGAGTTGGAACCAAGAAAGTATATAACAAAAACATGAAATATCATGACACAATAGTGAATCTACCCACTTGAATACACATCCAACTCAAGTTTGAGCACTTCGTGCACGAACAAAGAGTTGCTGCTCCAGAAGCTCACTCCATATATATATAATACTGCTTTTAATACTGATTTCAGAATGCTTCAGATTCGAAACAAGCCCGAATCTGCATCCAAACATTGGATCTGCCGATGCACGTGGGGACTGACCTCCTCTCTGCCAGGCGTTCGACTTCGGGGAGGTGATTAACAACCAGCGGCTCCAAACCAGGTGTAAGAACCCTGCAACAAGCCCTTATGAAAGGTATAATATGGTATAACGATTGTGATGTTGGAGTCCTTGAAGATCTTAAAGGGATTTCAGTCTGTTCCCGAGCTGCTGCTCCGACTAAGCCGCGCACGGGCTGTCCTGCCCTGGACCTAGGAATACTGCACCTTCATAGCCCAGGCCTGGTGGTGTGAGTGAAAGGAGCGTGTCCGGAAAATCTTCAGCTGTTCTTGCACTTGACAAGTAGTTGGCTTCAAGTTCTGAAATTCCATGAAAAAAGGGTCCGGGGAAACATGGGGGAACCTAAGAACCTATGCATGGGAACCTCTTTCTATCCCCCTTGAGGTGACATTCCTATAGAAATGATTACCGCTGTCCTTTCCGCTGTCCCCGTGCCTTCCAGGGCTTCCCGGAAGCTTCCCCAGTCACCTGTGGCCAGGCCCTTAGTGCAGGGCGTCCACCCGCTCCGCTGGGGAGCCAGCAGTTGCTCGGTTGACCCGGCCGACGACGGTCGCGACGTGGAGTTTCTCCAACGACACCGGTCGCTCTCGACGTTCAACGAAACGGGTGAATTCGTGCCGGTCCGAGCCTGTGTGACCTGACCTGGAATCGGTCAAATGGAGGTCTTTCATGGGCGACTAAAGTGGATGGCACACCCATAGTCTTCGCAAGAGGAATTCGTGTAGTCTTCCATGAGGTCGACCGATGTGTGGTAGAGGAAAACGATGTCCTCGAGGGGTGACACTGTTTGAGCTCCATGGCCGCCAGTTGGTGTCAGCTTTTGAGTCGAAGACTGACTGGATTCTCTCTGAACTCATTGCCAAAACAAAGCACAAATTGCATCATTCATGCCTCAAAATGATTCAAGTCCAGTGAACAAATGGACAACAATGGTGCGAGATGGTGCGAGTATATATAGATGACTCGAGTTTGCTTTAGGTGAAAGCCACCTTGTACGATCATTGCGGCGTCCCAAACTCCTGCAACATTCTGCCGAGTCTTTTCATTCGAACCGTAATGGCGCGTATATTGCAAATTCTCAAACAAACATAAAATGCCGTGGCCTGTCCAGAAAATCAACATAAAGGGACTGGTCTACCAACAACGTCACTTCATATCGCTGACCTTTGCAGGAAGTGGTCGCGATCACTGAGAACACTCAAAATCCCTGCCCTCCAACTGCCCCGCCAAGTGAATGTGGCTGGCCAGCCACTTGTATTGGCAACTTTACTCATCCCCTGGCTATTCAGCATCCTCATGTTGATTTGTTACCAGCTGCAACCAACGACCAAGTCAGTACAAAGCTATACTATTACTTTATAAAACTCATTTTTTATATCCACCCCTTAAGGATGAAAGGATCACTTCTCACACATGTTCCAGCCAGGTGAGATCTCGTGCAATGTGTTTCACGCGCGTTCACGCTGTCTCGTGCTGTCTTGCAGCATGGACATCGTACTCCTGGAAGGCCACCAGTGTGGGCTCTTGTTGTCTTAGCCGCTCCAAGATTCTCTGGCCACGCACCTGGCCGGGCTTTTCTGTCAAACAGAGATAACTGGGGAACTCATCTCTGAGATCTGGGAGGATGTTCAGGTAGAATCAGGAGTTATAAGCTGGCCTTCAAGGGAAGCTTCCTGTCTTCCTATCATGATCGATTCTGTGACTTTCACTCCGCCCCCATTTCATCCTGTTTTTCTTCGGTTCTCCCGCACGACTTCGGTTCTCCACGCACTGGACTCAAAGGACTCTCACTGACTGGTCCGCCCTCCCGCTTCCCAACAGGGTCAGTGGAAACGAAGAAGCTCTCGTGCGAAGAACATCCAACTCACTCGCGCCGAAAACAACAACGACAACAACAGCAGCAACTATCAGGAACAAAGAAGCTACTAGGACCTATAGGAACAAAGAGCCTCGCTACGAACGGAGCAAACGACGCTACGAACGGGGCTCCGAACGCCTCGCGATGAACGGAGCGATCGGACGCGAACCGAACAGAACATCGCCCCGGTTCACCCTGCGGCTTCGGGTGTTCTCGGCCTCCCAGGTCCGGGAGTTCACATGGACCTTCTGCACCGCCGCGTAGAGCCGCCCGGCCCGCTCCTCCCGGCCCGGGTCGGGTCGGGTGACGGACCGAGGAGAGTCCGAAAAAGGACGATGGTTGTGGAGGAGACGAGGCTTTTGGTGGGTCCCAAAAGGAAAAGAACACAAGAACCTTTGGGAGCATACATGAAAAAGGACAATAAGAACACAATTGAGATCAATTGAGCCCGGTTTGATTTGTAGTCAGTCTTTTAAGGGTGGATTGAGGTATTGCAAGATATCTCACGATGGAAGGAACATGTGTCTGTACTTTTCCGCAGACGTGTTGATGGTAGGTCAGTCTTTGAGGGGGACGAACATCTTTGGAATGCGCATGTCATACCTTCCAGCCACTTTTGGATGGGGCCAACACAATGGCCAGCTTTGATGTCAGAAATCAAAGGCAATTCGTTCTCGCGCTCGTGATCTTGGACATGTCGGTCTACCTTATCTTACCCAGGTATCCGGTATCCTGCCGAGCAGGGTCCTTCAAATGGCCTGGCACAGGACCTACCCCTACAGTATGAGTCCCAACAAAAGCATTACTGTATAACTTTCACCATGCTGTTTTACCCAATTGACCAACGGGTTCAACACTTAGTATCCAAATGTATCCACAGAGCAGTCCACCAAGCTTCTGCTCACGCTCTCCCCTTTGTCAGTTGCTGGCAAACTGTTCATAATTGCAGTTCGTCCATTTTGTCACAGTTTGTCCCAGTGTTTCGCAGGCGTTTTAAGGTCTAGTCTTGTCACTTTGGCATGGTACGCATTCAATTTTGCCCGGCATCCCGTTTCTCACTCCAAGTCATCGCCCAAATCGCCATCCAGTTTGACTCATTTCCCACCTCCTTTCATGGCCAGCACCCTCATGCCGAGGACCCCGGACCCACCCAACCTTCGTTCCGGAACCGCGTTTCGGCACCCATCCGTTCTCGGAAGACGGAAGAAGCGCGCCTGGTCGAGGAATTGCTGTATAACTCCAAGGAAGGTCTTTGCACCCTCCAGTGTACTGGCATTCTCCACCTTTGCAGCCCGGAAGCCGGTGATGGATGTTGGAAGCAAGCCGTTTTCACGGCCCCACTCTGACATCGGATTCTTTTCAGACCGGAGTGTTTCTCCGTTTCTCCCGGGTGGAGGAGTTCCGAAGTATCATCCTCATGAAAACCATGACGCAGAAGTGGTGAATACGCAGATCGCAGTGCAATGGCACATGTTTTCTCGAACACGAGTGATGAAACCACCCACAGAATCTGTTGTTGCCATGAATATTATCTTACGCTGATGCCCTTGATTTCCGCCCTTAAACCATGTTAAACCTATCCACGTGGTCAACACATAGTTAAGAAGCTATACGTGTTAGGATGCGGCTCTTGGTAGTCCGGTTTGGCTCAAGAAAATGATCAGGAGGAACTTTGACCTTTGCCCCTAGTCTCCACAGTGCAGCATAGCAAAGAATTCCTGCCAGAAATCCTGCAAATAACTAACCTGAGTAACCCGAGTTACCAACCATCGCACACCATCGCACAACCCCCGAACGAAGTTCCTTATGTACCTTACGCCTGCAGACCGAACACTCATCCAAACGGTCAATTCGGGCCGTCTGAGCCGTCGATCGGCCAAAGCGGCTTGAACCCCATCACCCGGCGGGCGCACCTTGACACCATCCAGTTGCCAGCCCTTCTCAGCCAAAACGGTGAGGTCTACTTGGTCCCAAAGTCCTCCACGGGACCGCGGTCAGTCAACAGAATGTTGCACCGGGTTTGTTCTCTCACACATACAAATACAAATACACTCCAAACATCTCCAAAACCCTGCGACAAGGACATTAGTACAGTAAGCCTTTGCATCCTTTCTGGGATGGGCTCTGTCGAGTGCAACTGCAAACTCCATTGAAATCCATGTTTTTCACGAGACTCTCCCTCTCTCAGGTGGGATGGCGTGACATGAGCCAACAGTGCCTTTGATGTCAAACTCCCATGGCCACGTATCATGCGACGAAAGATGACATCGTTTAGTGTTCAGTGTGAGATTGGACGCCCCTCAAAACCAACAATGTCCCAAAACCTCGTTTTCCAACAAAGACAACATGGCGTCCACATGGGTTGCTGGAGATGGGATCCAGCAACCCATTCACAAGTACGTGACCTGACGTCCACATGCGACAAAGCTTGGGCTGACCAACATTCCCCAAAGGCGGCGAAAACCAGACCTGTTATACAGAAACAAGACCTGAATGTAATTGCGATCAAGGTGTCCACTCTCCGAAAAACACTGGCACTTGGCTTCAAAAACGGTTGGGTTTCCAACACATACTTTGCCCAGTTACTGGAGGGATGTATGTACCCTCCAGGCCCGCTTCAAACCAGCGGGCTGCGCATCCTCGAACTTTGATCTTGCGGCCCTGGCAGAATCGCCATGGGGTTTGTACTTGAATAGGGACTGACATCTTCGATCCAATGGGTTGTGGCGGCTGTGGTCTCTGTTCCTTCTTCCAAGGGGTCGCGCAGGGGTCCCGCTATTCTAGCACGTATCACCATATCATCACATATCCATGTTGATTGCTCTTCAACTGCAACCATCCCACAAATACTGATCAAATACTGACAAGTCTTGGAGCAATATGTGGCCGAGGAATCGGTCCATCTGCAGTGGAAGGGGCACCCTAAACCCACACAAACCCGGAACAAAAATAGAACATGATAGAACTAGTGTCTACCGGATTCAAGTTTGAGAGTGTGACAGCCGATGGTCCCGTCCCACGTCTGAGTAGTACATCTCTCTACATCTACTCCAACATTTTGCCTTCAGCCCTTGCAGCGGACTAAGAGGCTCGAACTCCTGAGCCATCGATGCACATTTTCTTCCTTCTGCACCAAGGTCCCGGCGGTCCCGGCAGGTGGATCAACTCGTGCAAGCATCAACGGGCGTCGTGTTGTAGAAGGAGGTTCATCACTGCAGGCTTCGGCAAGAACGCTTCGAACTTCGCAGCAGCACTCTTGCAGTGAAGCGTCTTTCCGCTGAAGCCGAGTGTATATACTGCTCCTTCCTCCATAGAAGATGCCTGCTCGCGAAGCGTCTTGATGGCGTACGCAATGTTGTATGTCAAGAATTTCAATTTCTTCTGGCCCAGGCTGTCAAGCCGATTCGCTAAGTCTACAAGTGATTCCACTTCCACTTTGACCAACTGCGACTGTGTCTTGAGTTGCTCCTTGAGCTTCTGCTTCTCCTCACCTTCAAGGTCTTGCAAAAGGTGCCACTTGGCCCCCTCGGTAACCCCGATGCAAGCACGAGACGATCCGTTTGACAACATTTGAAAGAACAAGGCCGCAAGATCGTCCCCTGTACGATGGCCACACTTGACTTCCAGTGTATTGCCTGCCTCATCCATTGCATCTGCCTCAGCCTGGAAGAGGACTTTGTACTTGCGAAACAGTGTCATGGTCTGAAGGTGTGTGCTTTGAGCATCTGAATGCTGCGCATTCATGTGTGTCCCGGTCACTAGTCGCTCAAACTGGAACGGTTGCTCATGGAAATGTTGCGTGTACAAACCAGAGGGGCTGATGGCCTTTTTAACAAAGATTGTCTTTCCATGCTTCTGCACCAGGTAGCGGGCCCCCCTGTCAGGGTTCTTTTGCAGGGCAAAGAACTTCAGTGTGCTTCCACCAAAAACAAAGTCCAAGTTCTCAACCGGGTATCCCCGACACTGAGCAACGTAGACTGCCAAGGCAAAGCTGGCACTGTTGGGAAATGCACCAAGCGTTGCACTGTCCTTCGGCAGGTCCGGGCCATAAAACCATGTTATAGGCAGCTCCAGCTTTGACACGTCAATAGCGGTGCCCGGCTGTCCGTCAAGGATGAGACCCGAAATCTCCTGACTTGCTGCTCCTTCCACGGTTGAGGAGAAGTCCCTAGTGGTACTGCGATCCTTTCCAGTCTTCAGCAAGGGCAAGCCTGTCAAGTGCGGCGCCCACGAGAAGAAACCCAAGTTCTTCTCCAAGACGATGTGATCCAAAATGTCTGTAATATTTGTGACCTTCAGTGTAGAACGTGCCTTCTCCATCTCCTCCTGGAAATTCAGCAATGCCATGGCTTGGAGCAAATGGAGAACGCGGCAAACAACAGTTTGTACTTTTAGGGTGCCAAACCCCATCAATAGCGTGTATGTCATTGATGGTAGACGACCATATTTCTGTGCGATATAAAACAAGCCCACTGCGCCCATACTGCGCTGGTGAGTAATCATAGTGAATCACGTTCCGCTGCCCGAAGCTGGTTGGTTGCTGGTCGAAAGGCCATGTTCACAGTCAAATTCCATTGATCATTCTGTTTCTCAGCAAGGAATATCTGTTATTTTTGAAACAAGGTGCGCGAACCTGTTGGCGAGCTGGAAAGAAATATATATTATATAATTCTATATATATATATATTATATATATTATATTATATATATATGTGTGAAATCATTTGTATGTCCACATCTCTGTCTCTGTCCGTCCTTTCGTCCGACCAGGCCGAACACCTGAACACCAAATCCGGCCGCGTCCCAACGCGGTCTGCTTCATCTGGGCTGCGTCCCAATCCGGGGCCTCCGGGGTGGTGACCATGGTCTTCATGGGATGCCACTTTCGGCTATGTTCCTCATGGAGAGCCTGGGCGATCAGCTGAGCTGTCGACTGCAGCCAGTTGCTTCGGAAGAAGGAAGGGTTCGGGTACGGGTCAAAGGTTTGGATGGTCAGAAGGATTGCAACAGTGCAACCCTCCGGTGTTTTTGTTCCAGAAACTTCCAATCAGCTGATCACTGCCACTCTCGTACTCTCGTTGAGCAACAGCTATGTTCCCAAACCATCAATCGTCCGATGATCTGGCGCTGTGACCTATGAAGACCACCTGAAGACTTCACGGAAACGACCCGGTGACTCTAGGATTGAACATGTTTGAAGATTGGGGTGACTCCATGCTAGGCCTTCGTATGCCTTCGTCACCGCTAGCCGCTACTGACCACCTCTACAGTGGGTTTCAGAGTAGATGCCACAAACCCCCAAGATGGAGGTCCACATCAACCACCCAAATGGGATCCTTTTGGGGCTTGTGCACATCTGCTCTCAATCCAGGACACCGAACTCCGACCGGATCGACACCGGACCTCCGACCGGACGGGTCCGACACAACGAACAGTCCGTGTGGCTTGGAGACATTCGGAGAGATCTTCGGCTATTGGATCACGTTGAACCGTGTGAAACCACAGATTTCATCAGATTCCAGCGATTGGAAGTCTTTACGCCAATGATCTCAGCACATCGCACATCAGATTCGAGTGAACCTCTCCTCCTCTCCCCCGGCCTGGTTGACCTCCCGCCACTGGGCCGCGGTGTCCTCGGTGCCGAAGACCTCCTCAAGCACCGCGTGGGATGGCTCCTGGGAGGACGACGGGTCGCCGGGTCCAATGGGACGGTTGGGTTGAGTGAGCCAAACAGATTTAAAGTTTGCAGAGGATGTGTTGGAACTGTGATGGAACAACAAAATGAGACCAAACACAGTCTCCCTCCATACAAAGATGTTACCAATTTACCAAGGCTCGAAAGGTTCATCCACACCTGGAAAATCCTCACGTCGTCAAATCGGAACATGACTTCTTTGTATCTTTGTTTCTGGGAGACGTGGCACCTGCCTCCCGTTGTGACTCGAAGTTTCTGGGCAAGCTTCCATGTTTTCCAAGTACTGCTCTAGCCTTTGAGAAATGCATCTACCTCATGTTGATTGGACAGAACAAATGCTCCGACACCATCCTATAGCCTATATCTATCTTTGCCGATCGAATGAAACCGGTGCACCATCTCCTTATAGGCCATGCGTGACGCGTGGAGCCCGCGTTGGACCGTGAGCTAAAGCGTCCTCCATGGTGCGTGGCACGAAGTTGGAGGAGAGCTCATCAGCCAAGATGTTGTAGCTCATCACCTAGATGATGAAACACAGCTTTTGGATGCTTTTGGACAGAAGGGAATGTGTACGACATGGAAAGGATTGTGTGCCTTGGCTGTCATTTGGAAAAATAAATATATTAGATGTTTTTAAAGGCTCTGAGGTTCCAGGCATCCCCTGCACACC